TTTTTCGTTCCATTGCTTAGGGGCTTGCTTAAGTCCGTATAAGGACTTAACTAATTTACAAACTTTTCTCTCATTGCCTTTTGCCACAAATCCCTCAGGCTGATCCATATAAATTTCTTCTTCAAGGTCACCATGAAGAAAAGCTGTCTTAACATCCATTTGATGAATTTTAAGACCGTATACGGAGGCCAATGCTATGAGCATTCTTATCGTGGTCATTCTTGCAACAGGAGCATATGTATCGAAAAAATCAATACCTTCTTTTTGTTTATAACCCTTAGCAACTAATCTGGCCTTATATTTATCAATGGTTCCATCCGGTTTTAACTTCTTTTTAAAAATCCATTTACATCCAATAGTGGTACAACCAGGAGGAAGGTCAACAAGCTCCCATGTTCCATTTTGAACAATAGAGTCCATTTCACTTTTAATGGCATCCTTCCAATAAATGGCCTCGGATGTGGCCATTGCATCTCTAAAGGAAATTGGATCACCCTCAATATTGTAAGTGATAAAATCACTTCCAAAATCCTTAGTGATCCTAGCTCGTTTGCTCCTTCTTGGCTCATCTAGATCATTTGATTCAAAATCAATATGACTAGAATTACTAGATTCTACCCCCACATTTGTCATCTTTTCCACTTGATCAGGAATTGAATTAAATGTGGTTTCTTGATTTTTAAAAGAAGTATTTTGGGGCACACCTGTTTTCATTGGAAAAACATCTTCAAAGAAAGTAGCATCACGAAGTTCTACAATAGTATTGACATCTATGCCAGAAATTTCAGATTTAATAACCAAAAATCTCAATGCATAAGAATGTTCAACATAACCAATAAAAATAGCATCAACAGTTTTAGGCCCAAGTTTCTTTCTTTTGTGTTCAGGGACTAAAACTTTTGCAAGACAGCCCCACACTTTAAAATATTTCAAACTTGGTTTTCGACCCGTCAAGAGTTCAAATGGACACTTATCTTTATGTTTCATGGGAATTCTATTCAGAATATGGCATGCAGTATTCAAGGCTTCCCCCCACATAAACTTTGGTAATCCAGAATTCTCTAATAAACTGTTAATCATATCTTTAAAAGTTCTATTTTTCCGTTCAGCTACTCCATTTGATTGTGGTGAATAAGGAGGCGTTTCTTCATGTACTATATCATATTTTTGGCATTCTAGTACAACTAAATTAGAAGTATATTCTCCTCCCCTATCAGATCTTAACCTTTTAATTTTCTTGCCAGTTTGATTCTCTATTTCATTCTTAAAAATTAAGAATTTTTCAAGAGCTTCATCTTTACCCTTAAGTAGATACACATAGCAATATTTAGAATAATCATCAATAAAAGTGATAAAGTATTTCTTTTGGTCACGAGTAAGCACTCCATTAAACTCACAAATGTCGGTATGAATTAAATCAAGTAATTCTGAATTTCTATCAATTGAATGATAAGGTTTTCTTACTTGTTTAGTTGTAACACATACCATACATTTCTTAGTTTTATCAATAGAGTGCTTAGGGATTAAATTTAAATTCATCATTCTTTTTACAGAATCTAAATTAACGTGACCCAAACGACAATGCCATAAACAAGAAGAATCACAATTCTCAGATATATAATTTAATTCCAAATAATCAACCACAATCTTAAAAAGTCCATCTGACAAGTAACCCTTGCCAATAAAAAGTCCACCAAATAAAATTACAACTTTATTTAATTTAAAAGACAATTCATAACCCTCCCTGACTAGAATGGAACCACTAACAATGTTCCTTCTAATTTCGGGAACGTGATGCACTCTATGCAAAGTAAGAATTTTTCCCGAAGGGAATTTTATTTCTACTTTTCCAACTCCATGCACACTAGCAGCACTTGTGTTTCCCATCATCACCGTTCTTCCAACCGCAGGCTGATAAGAAACAAAGAGCGATTTATCAGCACATACATGCACATTCGCTCCTGTATCTATTAGCCACTCATTGGAATTATAAATAGTGAAAACTTGAGGGTTAAAAGAAACATACCCATCGGAACTAGTTCCTCCAGTCACCATGTTGACTTGAGGTCCACCAGATTGAGCCTTAGCCTTTTTATTTGGGCACAATTTGGCCCAATGCCCCATCTGTCCACAGTTCCAGCATGGACGGTTTGCTTTTGGTTTCTTTGTAATTTTTAATTTGGCCTTTATTGGTTTAAAAGATGATGGTTGCTTATTTTTAGAGTTATGTGCTTGCTTCCCCCCAGTTATAACATGAGCCTTCGGTTGAAATTCAACAGGCGCAATATAACCCGCTTTCTTATGTTCCTCCTCAACAGTAATGGAATGCATCAAAGATTTCCAAGTGATCTTTTTCATTTTATGTTTTAAAGTCATACCAAAATCTTCCCAAGATTTGGGAAATTTTTCTATGACCGCCATCACTTTAAATTTTTCAGGCAATTCCATATCCGCTTCACGAAGAGAATGTAAGATGAGCTCAAATTCTTGTGTCTGTTCTAACACCGATTTACCTTCTTTCATGTCAAATCGTAGGAATTTAGAAACAATATATTTTTCAAGACCGTGGTCCTCAGTATTATATTTCCTATCCAACTCATCCCAAAGGTCCTTAGCCGTGCCGTGGAGGGTGCAATAGACATCAAATAACATGTTGGAGAGACCCAACAAAATCATGCCTTTTGCAATTTCATCCCTCTCACGCCATGAAGCTTGGCGTTCAAGACTTTTGGGATCCGATTCAACAACGGGGGGACACACCGTCATAATTACCGAGAGCAAGCCCTTGGTGATTAACCAAATTTTCATGCGTTGTTGCCAACGCTTGAAAAAATGCCCAGAAAATTTTTCCGACATTCCGGTTAAATCAACCCTGTGCGAGCCCGTAGCAACATATTCAGATGTGTCTCCACAGTTAGTCACAGACACAGAATTTACATTATTTTGAGGGATATCATTCACATCATTCTCAACAACATTTTCGGAAATAACAGCATTTTCCAAGTTTGCCATTTTTGGATTTTCCAAAACTCGAGAAATAATATCTTTCTTCAAGATTGTTAGAAAAATGATATTAAAAATGCGAGTTTAACCAAATAAAAATCCCGAGTTTATACAAATCACCAGACAAACCACCAAATGCAAGAACAGAAAAAAAAAATAATAATAATTAGAATAAGTGAAAAAGGAATAAAGAAAAGATAAGAAGAACTTATCGCAGGATCGCCCGTTAAAAACGGACTGGCCTTGAAGAAAGATAGCCCCCGTATCCCGATAGCTATTCGGACGGGTCTGGCCAGCTCGCTCCCAGGATAATCCTACTCCGTTTCAGACTTGTAGCTACCTTGACTGAAACCTTCGACCGTTGCCCGGTTTGCCTTTGAAAGTAAAAAAAAAAGGATGAAAGAACTATGGATTATATGCTCTCGACACAAAGGAATTAAATTCCTTGAAGACAAGAAGAGTGCAGACAGAAAGTTGTCTTCGCACTAAGAGAAAAAAAAAAATCGCAGGTGATTTTTCTGTGGGTTAGGCAAGATCAAAATGGATAGAGCATGTAGTGGGTTATCTCTTCTGCTTGTTTTCGGAAATCAGGCACCCTTATATATACATATGTTCTAGTATAAATAAAAGAAAGGGTTTTTGGATGTACATGGACAGGCAGGTCGGAGAAGCAGTTATGATACCAATTAGTATAGCCATAACTTTTCAGTTTCATCAATAACTCTCTCAACTTGACCTGCTGTCTTCTTAATAATTTTGAAATTCAAAATTTCAAATTATTAATTACATTAAATTACATACGGATGTAATTAAAATGAAATGTCCATCCATCCAAATTCTAAGAATATAATTTTGTCCTAAAATCAAATAGTCTCCAAAGCCGACTCATTTGCTTAATCATTTTGAATCCTTTATATGATCTTTGAACAATGTTCCTTATCATATTATAAGAGATAATTTATTTCTAAAACGGACAAAATATTCTTCATATTAATACGTCACATTTACAACCATTACAACTATGGATTCTTACTGAAACAAGTCCATATATTATGGTTGTACTTTGATGTAAAAATAATATTCCCAATTCTTATTTTATACATGTACACTTTAGGACTCATAAGTGAGACCCCAAGAAAATAATATTTCGTCATATTTCCAACAGAAGATACGTACTATATGTGCTCATTTTCTTTTTAAGTGTTTTGACAAAACAATCAGTCAAATTTTCATCATGGCATTCGAATGCAATCATGCTTCATACGTAGTATCTTTCACTACGTTCTTCTGAAAATCCATATTAAAACTAAATGAACTATGATCTGGAAGTCATGACTTGAAAGATGAAATTTATCGGTACAAGATATGAATGATAGAAAACTATCAATCTAGGACCCGAATGATTGAAAATTATCAATTTAGGACCTAAGTTTTCATAAATTTTATTATTATTTTTATTTTAAAAAAAATTTAAATAATATTTAGTTTTATTAAACTAATAAACTTTTGTGAAGAAAATTTCACCAAATATTGGCAATGGAATTAATAAAAAATTAAATAAATCAAAACCTATGAAATGTTAGGTGCTAGATTGATAGTTTTTCATCTTTCGAGTCTTGTAGTGGTACATTTCATCTTTCAGGTTCCGGATTGATAATTTGTCTATCTTTGATTTGATTCTTAATCAATTTCAGATCAATTAATTATTTAAAACGCCTATTAAATAATCACTTCATATGTACTTTAATTTGGATAAGAGTTTAAATTGAACAGAATAAAACATTATTTAAGTTATTTGTAGTGTCATTATTTTGAACATTTAATCTAGTCTTTAATCTATCTAATATTCCTTCCGTCCCGAATTGTAAGACACTTTACGGTTTACGATGTTTGACCAACGATAATGTAAACGGATCTTTGTCCGCATTCAAATTATTTTTAGAAAAAAAGAATTGCATATTCAGAAACTACATTAAAACTTATAAGCTTTACAAAGTCGCAAAACCAAAATCAAATTTAATAAAAATTTGATATATAAAGTAAGAGATTAAGAGTGATTTGATATATACAAAATGGGATACATAAAAGCAAACCATTTGTTTCTTAGTGAGCACATATTACAAATGAAAATTTGACTAGGGTAAGGAACAAAAACTATCTCCGATTCAAACTTTTGCTGAGATTCACTCATCAAATTGAAGCCAATCGCTAAACCGAATTGTGAAATCTGCTTGCAGATCTGCAATGGAATGTTCTGATATTTTTCATTACAATTTACAAATGAGGAAAATAAACGGATGATATAATGACGAATTTTCATTCCAGCCAAAAACTGGGAATATGATTTATTAGCGTTGATTATGGTTGACCACAAGATCACAAACCATGAATGGATGTCTATACAAGTAGGTCATAATGATTCATGCCACTGTAAAGAAGCTTCACGGGTTGTCTTGCTTTTCTATTCTTCGTGCCCTCACAAAATTCTCTTCCATACTCCGCAATTGAAATAAAACCAGTGCCTCTTCCATGATGCTTCAATTTCATTTAAGAAGTTGGATAGCTTAGATTAAAGTACACAAGTTAAAGAGATGCAAAAGGGAAGGTTTATAATAATAATAATAATAATAATAATAATAATATAATAACATCAATAATAATACAAACATCAATGATAATAATAACAACAATACCAGTAGTAACATTAATAATTTAAATATTTTTTAGTCACTGCAAATATAGCGCCTCTTGGTTTTAAGTCCCTGCACACTATTGTTAACCCTCTGCAACACATGTTACTTTCTGTTTTAGACTATCCAACTCTTAGAGAATCATAATTATAAAAAATCAATGTCTCCCATAACTCCTCTAAGAACTTTCCATGTAAGCCTTTATAATGCTTTGGAAACTATAGTGGAGCTAAATCTAAGCAAAACTAATCATTCATATATTAAGGCTAAGGGCAGCCCGGTGCACATTTACCCGCAAGGGGAAGGTCCAGGAAGAATCCCATCACAACAGTGTGTAAGGAGCTAAGCCTTCTTTTTTCATTTTGACAAGAGGTCGCTCCCAATACTTGAACCCGTGATTTCTCGATCAGACAACAACAATATAACCGGTGAGTCAAGGCTCCCCACATATTAATGCTATCGTAAAATAAACCAAGTATTTTTTTAAAATGGAATGACGTGAAGTGCAAGAAAGAAATTATGTTAATCACGTGTGTATCGTATACTTGTATTATTAAACATAGGCTGCTACAACTCTACAAGGTCAGTGAGAAACTAAAAACTACAAGGCTAGAAAAATAACTGCGGGACTTGAAACTAAGAGCTTTATATTTGCAGGGACTATAGAAATATATAAGCCATAATAATAAAACCGAGTGAGGCTCGGCGAGAAAAATATGGGGGGGGGGGACCTCATGTTCTGTTTTTTTTTACCTCATGTTCTGGTATATATACAACAATTGGCTGGCATAATAACCTCGACAATACCTGGAGTAGAAAAAGGGGTCATTCATTCAGCAATTAGATTATAAATAAATAGAAACCCATTAACCCATCAAACACTCCAATGATGCAGGATGCAGCCATACCCCCCCCCCCCTGTCATTGTCATATAAAGGATAGTGATGATACCCCAGGAAAAAAGAAAAAGAAATTTATTTATACTGTTATGCCTTTTTTGGGCAGGTGAACTTGAAGGTGTGTGAATAATGTGAAAATTAATGAACAAGATGCATATTTTCCTTGAGGACAATCAACATGCATAAAGCCTTGACACAATATCATATAATGTGAAATACATGAGAATAAGTTGGATTGCAAGCACGCCATACCAGTAGCTCTGACTCTCCTCCCCAGAAATCAGTTCGCCCAATTCGCTGGCAGTAGCTAAAGGGAACAGTTGGAGAAAGTAATAAATTGACTCTTCACATTACAAAAAGCATATAACAAAAGCTAAAAAGGCACATTCTTTATTGCATACAACAAAAAGCATAATGGCTTCTCTATTGCATAATTTCCATGTGATGGATTTGTAAGCTCACCGGTTTAAAGACTCATCAACAGTGATTGCAACCAAGGCCTCTTCATATTTCAGACGTTCTTTGTCATTGTCGCAAATGACCTCTTTTACCGCCATCCTCAGTTCATCTTTATGTTCAAAATGAAATTGGTTTCCAAGGGAAAACGAAAAAGGTCATAGAAAACATTTAATAGTAGAATGACAATACATTTCAAAATGCAGCCTGTTAGAGGCAGTTTACTTTTTGCACTTTGCATGGAAAGGATTTGAAGGGCTTAGAGGCAATCAGGCAATTTACTATTTTTCTACAAAGTCCTCTCTGGATTAAGATTATGTTGTATGTCACTATTAAGTAGTCTTTGTGTAAAAGACTGGTTACTTTGCCTATTGAATAAACAGTTTGAATTGAATAAAACAACTAATTTAAGATTACATTTACGACACTGTCACATTTAAACTCATTAAGTCACAAATAGACAGCCTCTTAGTTTATATCTTGATCAACAGAGTATTCCTAAAAACAAATAAAAAGCTTACTGAAGTGTTACGCATCACATATTATGTTAATCCTTCAATTTTTATAAAATTTCAAGTATATTGTAATAAAGACTAAACCATCCAAATTCTATGTTTCCGCCCAAACAGACCATAAGGGTGTGTTTGGTTGGGGGATTTGGGGGGGAGGGGGGTGATTGATTTTTGTTTCACTAACTTATCTTTATCTATTAGTCTTAAACTATAAATTAAATGATGCATTTGTATTATTGTATATACCTTTTGTCTGAATCTTTTCTCTTTCTGAACCATCTTAAATTAAAATTTGAATCTTTTCTCTTTCTGAACCATCTAAAATTAAAATTATTAATGATTTTAACCCCCCTCTCCCATAATCCTCCACCGAACAAATGGGAAGAGATTGCTCAGAAATGTTAAATGGAGCAGTTAGGTATATTTGATGCATTAGTGTGAACGGTACACAAAGAAAATAAAGAAGAAATACCAACATAACATGGGCTTCAATCTTAACATTCTGGATTTTATAAATTCATGTTTAAGAAATAACAGTGGAAACATAAAATATCTGAACCAGGCAACCAGCAATTCAGGAAAGAATAAAAGTAAAGATTTAAAACCAACCAACAAGTAGATATACCTGCGCCCTCCCTTTCTTCACGAGGGCCAAGTGTCTTGCCCTTGTTCAAAGCCATTCCTTTTACCTAATTGCAACAAATAACATAAAACTTCAATTGAAAAAAAGAGTCATGCTGCTTTTATGTGCTTAGTTTACTGATGCGTTGAGATTTGTTCTGTTCAACAATATTCAGCCTATGACAATCCTACCCCCCAAGTACTAATTTCCTAGTCCACAATGTTTTCAAAGTTTCTCCTGTTAGAACTAACCAATTTTACAGAAAATTCACAAAGAAATATCAAGAAAAACAACTGCAATCTTTATTGAAGAAGAACAGTAACAATGGCTGAAGCCCCCAAAGAGAGAGAGTAATCTCAATCTTCCCAGTCCCAAGACAAAGTCTAAAACAGCCTCCTCTACTTCTCCCAGCTTCTTCTATTTATACTAATCTAGTACACTTATTATTATTCTTGGTCTATTAGGCCCAATTCCTAACAATACTCCCCCCCCCTAAACATCCACCTTGCCCTCAAGATGGGTGATAGGAAACAGCCAAAATCTTCATCTTCACCTTCCTAATATCTCACTGTTTTCAGAGCAAAGAGCCACAAGCTTTTAAGCCTTCAATAATCTTTCCTAACAATACTCCCCCCCCCCCCCCCCCCCCCCCCAAGCTTTAGTACATAATCTTTCCAACTCACAAATTTTTCTGCAGCATAGAATATTTCTGGTGAAGTTTCATTTTCTTCACTAGCTTTTAAGCCTTCAATAGCCACAAGTATTTCCTTGTCTTCCTGAGGTGTATCACCTACACCAGTAGCAGAATTTATGTTCATGCCCTGAACCTCTTTGCCAGTGTGATGCAACACCGAAACCAGGCAACATCTTTTGCCTGAGAATACAAAGTCAACTCCTTCAGCACCAAGTGCATCAGTCATAATTCTGTGGATCCCCATTCCGAGTACAACTTCATTTCCTTCTATCACCGTCATTTCATTAATTGCTCCATTTTCAACAGTAATGAAATATGGCAGCCAATCCCCATTTTCATTAGTCACTGCAAAGTATTTCTGGTGCTTATGCATGACCATTATCAGTAATTCTTTAGGAAGCTCTAGGAAGGTGTCCTTAAATTTGCCAAGTACGGGCATAGGTGCCTCAACAAGATTTCCAACTTCATTAATTAAACCAGTCTGCACAATAGGATATCTATTTACACTCTTTGTAAAATCATGGGACTGCTCTAATATAAACTTTTTGTGTTGATCAACATCAACAAAATTCCCAGCATGTTGCATCAGATCGCCATAAGATGTTGCATTTACTACCTCTACAGTGGCAGATGGAGTGATATGTATACCATTCGAAACATATCCACTGAAGGGGTTGTTACGAGTGAGGGAATGGGTCATTACTCCAGCTGTCTTTGCAGATATGTCTCCCCACATGAGATAACTTTCAGTTGCTTTAAATGGAGTATGTAAGTCAAGCTTGGAGTAGTCTAACTTGCTTTCAACCCATGACTGCAATTCTGCTTCTTGTATTTCAAGGTGTTGGGCATGGCTAGACTTATCAGCATCATGGATCAGTGTGCGGTTTCCCCAGATGATAGCAGATTCTTAAGAAAAAAGATAAACATGATCCTTATGAACCTCTGGTCCCGACCTCTTTTGTTCCAGGCCTATATTTTCTGATAACATTTTCTGTCTTTTCTCCTTGATTTCGTCCTTGATTTCGTCTTTCTTATTCATTTTCTTGATTACAGGTTCAGTTGGTTCCATCTGGGTCTTCTTTATTGACTGGGAAAATTCTTGCGCAGGGTGAGAAACTTGTGAACTGAGAGAAGTTCTTGGCGACCGCGATGACTTCTGGTTTTCTATCTTCCGCTTGCGTCTAGGTGGGAAACACCTAATCGCCACTTCCTTTAGAGCCTTCCAACTATTTTCTCTCGTTTGGAATTCCCACCATTGAAACCATCTAAACGCCCTTTCCTCCATAGCCTCAGCTGCGATGTCAACCTTAAATTTTTCTGCAATAGCTCTGACTCGGAAGTCGGAAGTATCTTTCCATCATATCTATCCAATCGTATACTTCATCCTCATTGAATAGAGGTAATTCCTCCGTCTTAGAAGAGACTTTAGACGAAGAAAACGAACAGTGAAAATCCTTTGGTGAGGAAGATTCTCCTCTCAATCGCGTCTGTCTACGGCACAAACTGATGGCCGTTGATGAAGTCTGAGAAAGAGTTCGTGATTGCGAACTTAGAGAAGAAGTTCGTGATTTCATCTGCGACTCCATCTGCGATAGCGGATGATGCCTACTGTTCCTCGATCGATCTCCAGGTCTTCTGCGAAGCCTCTGCTCTTCCAAATCATCTGAACTATCCGAGTTTCGCATGTGTCGATGATGAGAAGTGCTATGCGATGCGGACGATGCATGCGACCTAATTCGCGAACGATTCTGAATCCTCCTCTCTATATTCGCGATGCTTGTTCGTAACTCAGCTAAGGTCGCCGCAGTGCTTGCCGCTGTTTCTTGTTGATGTCGCTCCAGTTCATTCAATCTTCCTTCCATTTTTTCACACGCGTAAAGATCTTCCACAGATCGACGTGCTCTGATACCACTGTTAGAACTAACCAATTTTACAGAAAATTCACAAAGAAATATCAAGAAAAACAACTGCAATCTTTATTGAAGAAGAACAGTAACAATGGCCGAAGCCCCCAATGGCCGAAGCCCCCAAAGAGAGAGTAATCTCAATCTTCCTCGTCCCAAGACAAAGTCTAAAACAGCCTCCTCTACTTCTCCCAGCTTCTTCTATTTATACTAATCTAGTACACTTATTATTATTCTTGGTCTATTAGACCCAATTCCTAACAGTCTATTAGGCCCAATTCCTAACATCTCCCCATCCATCCCTTCATCAATCACAGTGTCTAACTGTAACGGTTCCTGAACTGAACTTATAGTGGCATACAAACCATAGAAAATGGATAGCAACTCGCCTTAGCCCAATTGAATTTCCTATAACCCGGAAATCTGAATATTAATTTAGTATGGTGGTAAGACCATTATGAGGACCTTTCAGCTCTGAGTGAAGTGACAACATCAACAACAACATCCAAGCCTTATTCCCAGAAGACTTCGGGGGTCGGGTAACATGTTTCACTTCACATGACTAACCTGTTATATTCAAAATGGTCTGTTTGTCTACTACAGGGTGAGTGTTAGAATCTTATACAAGTATAAGAAAATTAAAGAGAATCATGGATTAGGGTTGAACTACCCAACCACTTTAATTCATTCTTTTTTTTAAAGCAAAGCAACTTTTATTAGATAATATAAAAGTACAGCAAATGAAAAGAAAAAACAGCAGAAGATAAAGTAAAGAGAAAAACAGATAAAAATACACAATTCATTCTTTTAGTATAGTTTCGCTCAAGCAACATATATCCCAGTTAACTTGTACCCCAGTCTCAAATCATTAATAATATTGTCAGTTACTCTAATGCTTGTCTACCGAGACTTTTTGAACTAGTTTAAATAGAGGTTCTCTATACATTAATGATATCATCAATAATTTTGGATTTATTCTATGGAGTCTTGAGAAGGTCAGGCACTACATTCTCTTGACTAGGGTGGAAAAGTTCTTCATCTTTATTGTTTCATTCATACAATCATACCAGCGCACGGAACATGCATCGTCCGTCACCTGCAACTCTCTGTACAGTGTAGCGTTCCACTCTCTTCAAAGCTTGTGAGTCTCCACCTCTGGTTGGGGATTAATGATTTGACCAAATTAAAAATAGGAAAAGCAAAATTTAGGGAACATAAATCAAACTTATGTGAAAAGGACCTCGACCCATTCGGTATATGTTTTAGCAATTTTTATGCTAATTCAAACAATAAACTAAATGAAGAGAAGATATTGGGCTACGTACAAGAATCAAGATGGAAAGCAAAAAGAATATGATTATTGTTTTAGCTAAAGGCTACTCTAGGGATTTATGATGGCAATATATAAGAATTAGGAATACAGAAATTGCTCTGAATAGAAGTAAAAACGTTTTGAAATTCCAAAATAGGACCTTCGTGTTTTTATTCCCTAAATAGGAGTAATTTCTGCTAATTTTGGAAAAACCTGCCATGTTTGAAGCCTAGTAATACCAACCTTGGCAAAGACTGCCATGTTTGAAGCTTAGTAATATCAAACTTGGCAGAGATTACTCCTATTTAGGTAATAAAAACATAGCAGTCCTATTTTGGAATTTTAAAATTCTTTTACTCCTATTTAGAGAATTTTCCTTAGGAATACGAAATAAAATGGGTCTTATAATAATAAGCTCAATTGAATGATAATATACAGCTTTGGAAGAGCAAAAGTATGGGTCGTAATTCAAAGAGAAGTTCTGTAGGTATGAATACAATAGTGCTAGTGGTCTCCTGACTAAATCTGCTTCTTCCTTGATATTATGCTCCCAGAGACTCAATTGCACAACTTGTTAGTCAAGCTACTCCACTCCTCCAATTTTGGTGGGTGGTTAGTCGTGCTTATCATCTATTCAAAAATGCTAGCCACTAATGGACCTTCTATCTTTTTCTATATTGGTGAGGGTTGCCTGAGGGTTGCTCCGCTTTTCTCTCTGCTTTTGGGCCGCACTTCATTTATTCTTTATTTAATATTCCCTGGCCCAACAGTATCATTTTCTTTTTTTCTTTAAACAAAAACACATTATGGAAACCAGGCAAGGTTGTTTTCAAAATTTTCCAATAGAAATGTAAATTGAAACCAATACAGTTTCCAATTTCAAAATCCCAGATATAGAGGAATATAATATATATGCAGAATCTATTGAAATATAGACAGTATTCTGCACGTTATCTCTGCAATTATCTTGTGCAGTTATTGAGGTAGTTTCCTTTGCGTGGTGGTTCTTTGGGTTCATCTTATAAGGTAAGCAAAATCTTGAAATTGTGTGCTCTTTCTAAGTCTTAACCGAATCAATTTCTCATTACTTAATTGGCTCAAATAGCTTATTTGTATGTTCATATTTATAAATGTGGAACAACCTAAATGTTAGATTAAGGAGTGCAAGAAGTGCTACAACTCTCCCAGAAATTTTAAAACATAGCTTATATAATACTAGTATACAAAAGCTCTGATATTTGTTTAGAAATTCATATTTTAGTGTTATAAAATTTGAAGATTAACTGATCAAATGGTACTATTTTAAAGTATTTAAACATAATTCTTAATCCAAATTGTGCATTGCTTTATTATATAAGGCGAAGTTATTGTAATTAGCAAAAGGCCTTGACTTCCTAATCCTAATGGGACGGCCTTGCAAATTGCAATCGAATTAGAGACTCACAGTGGTGGTCCGATTCTGGCAAAGAAATGAAGGGAGGATTTGAGATTCCCATCCGGAACCCTATAGAGAAATGCGTGATGGTGCTGCTGGGTCTTGGGATTTAAAGTTGAAGAGGGTGGAAATGGCGAGGAGAAGAGCTCAAATTCAGCGACCCCTTTCCTTAGCTGCTCCAGGATTTCCACTGGGGAGTGGAGACTCAAAACTTAGCAACCTAAAATGATATGATATGAATATTGAATCTGAAATGTGACCAGGCCTACCGTTAGAGAGCTCAGCCGCAGCCATATAAGCTTAACACGAGAAACTGGGATATACTATCGTACGAAGCAGATAATATGCTTTGACATCGAGAATTTTTTGTTGGCCAGTAGAACTCCCTCCCACGGTCCCAACCTCCACCCTATGGAACATTATTTTATTTTAATTTTATTTTGGAAAAATGGAACATTAATTCTAATTTATGAAATAATTATCATTCTTAAAATCAATATATTTATATTGAAATTATCAAAATGTTTTACATTTCTATTAATAATTATTACTACCCATATTGGTTAAGTAGTTCAATCACTACTCGGTGCTAACTCGACCTTATATTGATTAAACATGAAAGCATAAATGCCCAAAATCTTTTTTGGAAGAATGTGATTTATATTAAGATAATAGAACGTAAACAAGATACAACCGGACAAAGAGTCCAATGTCTACCGTTCGCCCTTGAACAAGACTTAGAATCTGCTACCTCTTAAAAATAACCAAATTCGTTGATCCTGAATTGAGCTTACACGAGCCAATGACTGTTAAATTATACTCCACATCACCTGACATATGTTCTAGAATTTTGGTATGAATAAAAACTAAAGCAAACAGAAACACACGATGTCCGAAACAAAAAGCAACATGAAAGAAAATAAGTCAAATTGAAAAGTTCTTCAGTCTGTAGATAACACCACATCCTCATGAGTTTTGGCGGGCGTGGATGCTCCAGCCCGCCTCTTCCCTGTTTTTTGTCCCATCCAAAGCCATGACATCCGCCTCTGAGTTTTCCAGCTCCCGTGCTTCCCATGTATGTCTTCTCTTCTGCTCCCCTTGTCAACTGCTACTCTATCTCGCTCCATCCTTTTTAGGTGGCCCATACCTCCCTGGGCTTCATCTTCCGTGTAGCTCGGGCCCCGTTCAGGTTTCTCTTTGAAGTTCCTTTCCGTCTTGGTTGGATTTCTCGCGACACATCCTTCGCTCACAAGCCATTTATTATCCAAAGATGGGCGAGCCATCCCTCCCTCGCGCGCGCAACCACAGACCAAAAGATTTTACAATAGTTTTATCCCCTTTTTCATATACTAGAGGGCAAAACCTCTCAGCATGTTCTATAATTCCACAAGCAAAGCAAAAACTGAGAAGTTTTTCATACTTGAAATCAACCTAGTAATCTTGTCATTTACTCTTTTTCAAGGTTGTTCCCACCTTCAAGGGGTTTCTCACATCCAAATTCACCCTAACCCTCATATAGGCCCCCCATTTCTCATTGAATTGATTATCATCCTAGGTAATAAACTTCCCCAGATGGTTCCCAATTCTCCGAGCGGTGCCCAGATTCGAAAAACCTTATGGAACATTGTGCACTTGTACCCAAAAATCAGCCCAATCCAAAGGGACCTTCAGAGAACGTCCCTCGGTTTTATGGCCTTTTAACTCCAACGGGTTTGCTCAAACAGCCAGGGTCCATTTTCCAACACACAAGTCATATCAACTGCTATATGATAAAATTTAAACAGATACCCTCCTCTCTCCGATCTCCTGGATCAACACTCCTTTGCTCGGATGCCACAATGGCACCATCAGGTCCCTGAAAATCTGGAACTTCACCACCTTGTCCGTGAGAATCGTGCTGACAACTGGAAACGTGTTCGCCTCCCTGTCTGTCGTACCGGACCCAAGCCCATGTTGTCGTATTGGTCAATCAATTTCTCCACATGACCGCCACCTATGCCCATAGAAATCTCCTCGTCCTCGTCCTTTTGTTCGCCGCTGATCTGCGATTGGAACTCGCCCGTCACCATAGCCTCGTACAACCTCCCGATCGATACGCCTGGCCGCATAAACTCGGCGAAAGTTCAAAACCCTACTCAGAGGGAGAGCCGCCTAAATGCCCAAAATCTTAATAATAAATTTATCTTATAATTGTTTCAATATGAATGAAATAAAATAAAATAGCAACAAATCCCAACAATCACAAACATTCTAACTTCCAATAAAATCAACCACTTAATAATATTATACTTTGATTTTTTTGTGAAAGGTCTATACGAATTTTGATCGGGTGTATGGTCATTATTTTCATCTTCATCATCAAAGTAACACCACATGCATGAGTATAGTGAGAACAATGCCTATATGGTACATCCGGGTGTATGTACACCTGGCCCAACCAAGGTAGACAGCCCAATAACCAAAACAGACCAAAAATAATTCGGTGGCATTTTTGTAATTTAAGCAAAAAATTACGGCTTCCACTAAATGATCAATATTGTACTTTTAATGAGCATCAGGCATATTTTATTGAGTATTTAAGAGGCGAACAATGATATCACGATCCCTGCTTCATACAGTATCTTCTAATTCTTTTTTTTTCTTATTTTTTCTTTTATAAAAACTTATTATATATCTATAATACACTCCTATTAATTTTAATATGTGAGTCTAATGTAATATTATACTTTTGAAATATGCATTCATATAACAATTCAAAAATGAGCATAACATTAGTACCAAATGAGCATACATAACTTACGAAATGAGTATCAAAAAATTTAAAAACACAATTTTGTGTGCTCATTCATTTTGGATGTTATACTCATTTGAATTTAACCTAAAACTTATCTTTAATGTGAAACTCTTGAATATAAGTATGTGGGTGATGGATGAGAGGTATCACTTTGTGGTTTAATTGAAACTCGTTGAATATAAGTATGTGGAAAATAAGTATGCGGATGATGGATGAGAGGTAGCACTTTGTGGTTGAAAATATAGCTTCTGACAGATTGCAGAGGATTATCCGTAGGGTGGGTTCTGTGATGATTTTGTCTTCAATGAAGATATCTTCTACAGATAAGCAAACTGATTGGTAGCAGCAACAAACGGCAAGGATGATTTTGTCTTCAACGAAGATATCTTCTACAGATAAGCAAACTGATTGGTAGCAGCATCAAACGGCAAGGAGGTCAGAGTTCAGCCTACCAATCGCCAATCTCCATCGCTCCTGAAGTCGGTGCTGGTGTGCAGCCCGCCCAACGAGTTTAATTCCAAAAATATCCGGATGTACGGTCCTCACCGTACATCCGGGTGTACGATATAATTTGCGATAGTGAGAATAGAATCTTACAATTAACCTGATACAAAGAATTATTGAGATAAATTATTACATACCCACACAAAGGTAAAAAAACAACTTCCGCGTCCACAGGGCATGTCTGGGAGTTACACTTGTACGGTGTGAAAACGATGAATGGAGTGATATTTACTTTGTCGAAAAGTACGGAGTATAATAATCTAAAATTTTCAGTCAAACTATGAGCTTTTCCTTAATCCAACGTAATATATGAGTAATTAAGATTCAACGAAATAGAAATTCAATGGCCAACCGGTTGTGACGTCTCCATAGAGGCTTCCCTCCTCTTTCCCCCGGTGAAGATTGGTTAGATCTCTGGATCTCGACTCTCTCTCCCCTTTTCTCCGATCCTGTCTGTTTCCTTATTTTCCTTCATCAATTAACATTTGAGTGTTTACACTATTGTTTACGTTCATTTCCTGGTTTTTCCAATTACCAGAAATCGCCCTTTTGTTCTCTTGCCCTGCACCTTCACAGGGCTATTGTTTCCAAATTCGTCGTTAATTCCTGTGTTGCCTGTGTACCCGAGAAATCAAATGGCTGCTCCACCCGCTAGAGCTCGAGCCGACTACGATTACCTCATCAAACTCCTCTTAATCGGTGACAGTGGTATGTGGCCGGATATGGATAATTTGTAAGATCTGGTTTTGTATTTCTATAATTTTGCCTGTCATTGTTATGTGTTCTATTGCACGTTTTGTGCTGACTTATTTTTTATAAACGTGTTGATGAATTTCAAATTTGATTTCTTAGTGCTCTATAATGTTTACATGCTTTTACTAGGTTGACTTTTGCTCTACTAAAACTCATATTTAAATTTATATTCATTGTTTCAGTGTGCCGAGCCTCTGGGTCTATTTGGGTTGTTTGGGGATTTAACGTTCTAGGACTTGCTTAGAACTCCCTTTTCCTGTAATAAGGAGTATGATTTTCTGTTATATTCCAATATTCCGTCCAAGTGTGTGCACTGATGGCTAAAGAGCTTTGGATTGTGCGAGTGCTGAAGTTGCTTCAATGATTCATGTTCACAATATTAAGAATGTGGCTACTATGGGTGATGCAGTCTAACACTGTCTCTTGAAAGTTCCAACAGGACTAAATACGTAAAAGTTACTCTGAACTTTCAAAAAAAAGCTGATCGATCTTGAACTCTTCAAGCATCTAATATTCTAATTTAACCCCTAAACTAACTAAACTAATCCAATAATGATCCTGAACTTAAATTGTGTTTAGACATGGTATAGATGTAGATGTCACTAACAAATTGACAATTAGGCAAATGAAGAAAGTTGTAAACGATGATAGGACCAGTTTCAATGACAAAAGACATACTATAAGTTCAAACTTTTGACACAATTTGATCTGCACTTTTTGCAATTATAATTTTCCAGCTGTGACAGATTCGATCATGCTTACAACTTTGTTGGTGTATCTAATTGCACATGTTTTTGATGCACCTGCATAGTGCATACATGAAATACCCAAAGTCAACCGAGACTTCTTTTCAAGGTTGGGGTAGTAATTATTGGATTGTTTTGGTAAGATTATAACCTAAATTGGGTTTTAAAGGTTCAGGGTCAATTAGAGTTCTGTTTAAAGTTTGGGCCATTTATGGATACTTGGCCGTTCCAACACTGAAATTTGCTCTCTTAAGTGAGGAAATATACAACTAACTGGACTAGCACATTTGTGTATGCAAAAATATAAAGGTGCATGCTATGTCCCCCCCAAGGGCTTACATTATAGATTTTTTATGTTTATTTTCTTGGATCTGACTATTTGAAAACAAATATTTAGGCCTTTTGCTTGTTCAGATTGAGAATTACATAACGTATGAATGAATAAAGAAAAGTAATACTCCCTCCGTCCCGCTAAGATTGTCCCATTTTTTCTTTTCGATCCGTCCCACTAAGATTGTGTCATACTAGATTTGGTAAAATTTATGTGGCTCTAAATCATTTTTACTTTATTCTTACTTTATCAATTCAATATCACCCACATAAACCTAGGGTTGGATTCGGTTCGGTTC